GATTTATCTTGGTTATGTAAACACCATAGATTGTTTTCTATGTGTAAACACGGCACAACCAAGTCTAATTATTCGGTTATCATTGTACTTCTTTTACATTCATTTTCAAGGTCATGTACCCAGTGATGAGGTTTTCCTGATGATCAAACTTTACAGTAGACTCCCACAGCACCATCTACCTGTAAAACCAAAACGCTGGCTGCTCCTTTAATGCCTTCCTCGTGAGTGAAACGTCGGTCACGTGCCTGTCAAACCTCTGCGCAGCGCATCAGCACAGCGGAGGAAGTAGCAGGAAGCTAACAGCCTCCGCGTACATTAACACCTCATAAGAAACATGTACGTTGTTAACTAGCTCATGTTATATGTCGACCATTGTTGGACCTTTATTTTCAACAGTTTTAATTTAGTTCAAATTATATGAAGCAATGTTGATGAGTTGTAGACACCGCTTGCTAACTTCGGGCTAGCATGCTATCGGTGTAGCTAGCTGTTGTTTTGATCTGGGAAATTTCTTTTCAAGACAAACTGCGTAGCATTATACTGTTATTGGATATCAGCACTCGTCAAAAATGATTTCCTCTACATCTTTTTTAAAGTCCCACTGTAAATGAACTAATGGCGGCCTAAAGAAACAATCCAAGTGAGAGTCTAGAGGGAGCAGTCCGCTGTTAGCTCAAAGGAGTACATAAAGTGACTGGAACAATATCTACAGTATTCAAGATGCATGACGCCTATGAATCAGTGCCACTGCTGGAAAAGTTGCCTCTCCAAATCGACTGTCTCACGGCCTGGGGTAAGTTTTTATTGATAAGAAAACAGATGACAAATGTAACTGCTACTGTCTGTGTGGGTGGGAGTGGTCCAAGAAAATGCCATCTTTCATTACTGTTTATGCCTACATCTTGGATTCATTCTTTTATTCTGTGTTCTGCTAAATTGCTAAATATAACCTAGGTAATTGCAAATTTGTATATAAATGCTAATCAGATATCTTCCATAGACTGTCTTGTCCTATCATTGTCATCCCAATCTAATGTATCTATTCTTCTCACAGAGGACTGGCTGCTTGTAGGAACAAAACCTGGACATCTCCTATTATACAGAATAAAGAAGGACACTGGTAGGAGTTGTACTTACTTGCTTGCTTGCTTTAATTTGATTTGTTGTCTCTGGAAAAATCTTTACAAGTCTTCCTCTTGTCCCTTAGCAACAAACCGATTTGAAGTGACCTTGGTGAAATCAAATAAGAATTTTTCAAAGAAGATACAGCAGGTAGGCAAAATCTATGTTTTTAAATTACAACTGTGATGACATTTTGCTTTGAATGACTGTTTAAGGCTTTGACTACTATTATTCCTTCTGCATTTGCTATGTATGCTAGTCACTATTATATTTTCTCCCCCACAGCTGTATGTTGTCTCACAGTACAAAATCCTGGTCAGTCTTCTAGGTAAGGTTTTTCCTTTCCACAATAGCAGTTTAATTATCCTTAATATGCTGAACTTCCTTTATCACATTTGTTTTACAGAAAACAACATCCATGTTCATGACTTGTTAACATTCCAACAAATCACTGTAGTATCAAAAGCCAGAGGAGCCACATTGTTTGCATGTGACCTTGAGGTTCGTAACAGATGCATTGATACAAATTTTTTATTGCCATTGAATAGTCAAATTTGCTGTTTTTGATCATAATAATATGTGTTTTATTTTATGTCCCTTTAGCAAACCAGTACAGGGGAGGAGAGGCTTAAGATGTGTGTAGCAGTTAAAAAGAAGTTGCAGCTTTATTATTGGAAAGACAGAGAGTTTCTTGAGCTCCAGGTAAAAAATTGTAATGCTAGACAAGATTTAAACAGGTTCAGACACCTGACAATTTTGTCTTTTGTGTCTTTCAGGGAGACTTTGCCGCTCCTGATATCCCAAAATCTATGGCCTGGTGTGGCAATGCAATTTGTGTTGGGTTTAAAAGAGACTATTATTTAATTACTGTAAGTAATTCTCTAACTGATAAAAACATTTGTCTATTTTGGAGGAAGGGACAAACTCTGTTCTGTATCCGTATCGGACCTTATCTCATTAAGGTTTTTAATTGTTTTATTAGATGGAGGGTGGTGTCACCAAAGAGCTCTTTCCCACTGGAAAGCAGTTGGAACCTTTGGTTGCCCCATTGGCTGATGGGAAAGTGGCAGTTGGACAGGATGACCTCACCGTGGTGCTCAACGAAGAGGGAACTTTTACTCAGAAGTGCGCCCTCAAGTGGACTGACATCCCTATAGCAATGGGTAAGAGCTACTGGAATGGACTGGCTTTGCTGTTTTCCTATTGGTCTCAGAGGGCTATTGTCCAAATGCTACTGGAAATTAACCTGTTTTTGGTTTGCAGCTTATTTGTAGGAATCAAATATTTATGATAATTTGACTGCACCACTAAATGGATTATTTATCATTTGTTTAAAGTCCCTTCATTGGTCCCAATTTATATACTTTTAGTTAATCTCTGTAGTGTAAGATACAGCTTGTATAACTTGTAAGAATTAGCAAGTACTAGCATGTGACAGTGGAACTGGTTTAGTTTCATTGTCACATGACTTGTTACCTCAACAATGATCTCAATGTTGTATCTAATCCAGTGTTGTGCTTTTGAAAATTCTCTTTTCCAGAGTCATCTTAAATTGATAGTTGCACAACAAACAGACTAATATTATTTTTAATAAAAATAGCTTTGCACCAAACAAAGCGGAGCAGGTCCTATGTTTTACATGTCTCTATCTGCTCAGTGGGTAATGATACAAAGAGGAAATAAAAGATTAACAGTTCCTCAATTTCCTCATATCAAAAAGTTGTGTCATTATCTTGATGTCCTCTTTCAATAAAACCCTGAATCTCCTCCTTTTAACTTCTAAGTGGGCAAAAAGTAGCAAATGCAATTTGTAATTTAAAAAAAAAAAGTATTTTCACATTACATATTTTCTTTTATTTTACTTGAGAGAATTCTGAAACAATAACAGCTTAATGAATACAGTCATATGGTTTTCCGAACATGTTTGTTTAGGTCTGAAGGTTTTATACATAACTTTATAATCAATCAAACTGGTTAAAATTGTTACTGGTTAAAGGTCCCGTATTATGCAAAATTTACTCTTGTGAGCTTTAAGCTATAATATATAACACCTGGAATTGTGTTTTGTTTAACTAATTATTAACCTTTATTATTAGCCTGTTTATATCTCCAAACCATAAAATGCTCTGTTCCATCTTGTGATGTCATGAAGTGGTAGTTTTCAAGATAACTGCTACCTTGTATCTTTTGTTCAATAGAGACTGATAGTTCTAGGAATGAATTGATTCAAATGATTTTAGTGAAGGTGTTTCAAAACACAGTGGAGCACTTCCTGTATTACCATATGACATCACAAGGTCAAACAGAGTGTTTTCAGTTTTATAGAATAACTTAGCCTAAATATGCAGGGTTTGCATGTTAAACATGTGTAAATGAAACAAAACACAACTCCAGGTATATTTGTGATAAGAAAACAACATTATAAAAATAGATTAGAAAATAGTGTAATATGGGCCATTTAATCTTTACCATTCCACTTGGCTCAAATATTTTCATAAGTGGTAATTATTATGACAAAATGACATGGAGAAATAAATCATATGAATAAATGTCTGCATGCCTTCCAGTTTGTCTGTACCATCTGTTTGAGCCTGTTGTCTCCCTCAGAGCACCAACCTCCGTACATCATTGCGGTCCTGCCTCGCTGTGTGGAGATCAGGACCTTCGAGCCCAGACTGTTGGTGCAGAGTGTGGAGCTACAGAGGCCACGCTTCATCACATCTGCAGGGTGAGGAGGCCATATTTCAGACCATGACACTTTCTCAATGTTATGGCCTGTATTATTCACATACAGTATATTAGTTATGAGACTAATAGTGGCACTAATAAAAAAAAAAGCAGTGTAGAAACCAAATACTTTTTTTCTCCCCCTCCCTGTTAGTTTTTTTTTACTGACAGAACTATAAGTGTAACTATAAGCAATATTGTAATACTGTAAATAAGCATATGGATAAATAGTTGGAATTCTTAATATTCAATTATAAGTATTTTTTAAAACAGCTTATTGTTTACGCTAACATACATACATACTCTACATACAATATTCCTGCTATAAAAATTGATCTTTTTTCTTTTTTTTTATCATGTACTCCTAATCATGTCTGAATGTCCCTTCTTTTGCCCCACAGTCCAAACATTGTGTACGTTGCCAGTAACCATTTCGTGTGGCGCCTGGTTCCTGTGTCTATAGCCTGTCAGATTCGGCAGCTTCTTCAGGACAAACAGTTTGAGTTGGCTCTTCAGCTTGCGGTGAGCAAAGCAAACACAAACTGTACTTTTAAACTTTAGCATTAACATTTTCAGTTTTGTTCTTTGCCTTGAGGCGGGAACATTAAAATCCTCTCATTATTTAAGCACTTCTTTGAAATGGTAAATTGCTCAGGGTTTTGTTCTTGTATAATCATGATCTAAGCACAACCATTTACAGCAAAGCATTCACGTTTTTATATCTCTGACCTACTTAAAGGTGCACTGTGTAACTTTTTGGTTGTAGTTGGTTGTTTCTATGGAGATGTCATTGCTCTGCCAATATGGCATTAAACAACTCTACCTTACATTTATTCAGTTACAGGTGGTTTTATAGCTCAAAAATATCTAGAAAAACAGGCATTCTGACTATGAGTGGGGTTACCTCTCCACAGATCTGACCTGTAAATTGGTCTCCATGAAGATAGAATGGCACTGTACTGTGAAATATTCCAAATAAAGCAATAAGATCTCTATGAAAAGCTTTTGACAGACTCTCCACCTAAAAAGTTACACAGTGCGCCTTTAACAGATCTTGATCAATTACTTTTTTGAATATTTGTTTTTTTTCCTCTTTGCAGAAGATGAAAGATGATTCAGATGGAGATAAGAAGCAGCAGATTCATCACATCCAGAATCTTTATGCCTTTAACTTGTTTTGTCAGAAGAAGTTTGATGACTCCATGCAGGTGTTTGCCAAACTGGGCACAGGTACAAACTACACTTTTAAGTTGTTAATGTAACCATAGCTTGTAATTTCCAAACAAATGCACATCATAAAATGTTTTACATGTTTTACAGTACAGTATCATATTTATGAAGGAACTGAGTGTTAATGATTATCAGTACAGTCAACTTTGCCTTATGGCCAGTTAAACTAAACACAACAAAAAATGAAAAGTATAACTACATCTCAATCATTACTGACTACTGCTTTGTCTCCAATCTCTTCATACTTTACAGTGTATTTTCTTTCCAGACCCCACTCATGTGATCGGCCTGTACCCAGACCTGCTCCCCACGGACTACCGAAAACAGCTGCACTACCCCAACCCTCTGCCCACTCTGTCTGGGGCTGAACTGGAAAAGGCTCATCTGGCTCTCATTGAATACCTCATACAGGTAAATAAACATACAGTCTAGGTATTAGAATTTTTAAAAGTATATCTTTATTTAGTTAATTATTTTGTTATTTTTACGTAGAAACGCAGTCACTTGGTCAAACAGTTGAATGATGCTGATCCCTTCACCACCTCTCCGTTAATGGAAGGTACACCGACCATCAGAAGTCGCAAAAAACTGCTCCAGATCATAGATACCACTCTACTCAAGTGTTACCTCCATGTATGTACTGGACAGTCAATTTAGCCATTAAAATGATGTTACTCACTTCTATATCTTATTTGTTCCTCTCTTTTGGTTTTTCAGACTAATGTAGCGCTTGTGTCTCCATTGTTGCGTTTGGAGAATAACCACTGCCACATCGAGGTGAGCGAGGACGTCCTGAAGAAGGCTCATAAACAGCGAACTCATCATCCTCTATGAGAAGAAGGGGCTGCACCAGAAAGGTACAGAAAATGTCTGAACAACTGTCACATTTTAACAGTAATAATCTGTTATAATGGCCTTTTACATCTGTGATAGGCCAAGAATATGTAAACCTAATATTATTTTTTAATTTGACAAATTATTCTGTAGACTTTTGACCTTAATCTGCAGTTCTCTGGTGTGGACTTGGTTATTCAGTTAAGGCTTTTCTATTCTAAATGTGGAATAATTTTACAGTAATATATAGTAAATAGTAATATTGATACTTTGCAGTTTATTTGTGTGGTGGGGGTGTGATTCCAGCTGAAGGCACAACTGTCAGGAGCTTTGTTACACTTTTAACATAATATGATCAGAACGAGTTGACTTAGCTGGAACTACAAAAGTTAAGCTGATTTGTGCTTTTAAACAAGTCTCTCACACATAAAATTACAGTCACAAGGCAGCTTGCATTAGCCATCAGTTTTTCCATTAGTCACTCTCACCTTTTTGTTGAAAATCATGTAATGTAAAAAAAAATGTATTGATCACTGGCTGCTGAAATTGTGTTTTCTGACAATTGTAAAAGTTTTTGGCTGTTTGCTAATGTGTGCATTGTGTCTCCATGGTAACTGCCAAACATTCCAATAGAGATGCATGTAGAACACCCCCAGTGTGATGCCACTGCAAACTATTAATAGTGGATAGAGCCTCTACGACTCAGCACAGTATATACAGTACAGTGCAGTAATGGCTCCTAATAAATCATCTAGACTTAGAAATGGCATATACTACATCTTCAGTGAGTCTGACACATTGATAGATCGGTCTGACTCACATTTCAAGTTAGACATCTGTGTCTTATGTCCAATTTTGAGGCCAACATTGTGAGTGAACTTCATGAACTCTACTGGGAAACCCCTTTGTGTACGCTCGGTAATGCATCATCCTCTCTTCCTGCAGTAATCACCATAAGAATGGAGGTTTTCCCTGTGTTCTCTTGCCCTCCTGCTGAGCAGAAATAATCAACATTCACATTTTCCTAAACAATGACTGTATTGAGCATAATTCGACACAGAGTAATGACTTAACCTGGTTACATGTGACATAATGGGTCTTTTCAGTGCATCTTGTCCAGTACATTTATAAACCACTACCAGCTGTTTTTGGCTTCTCAGAAACTACAGCCTTGTTTAATCTGGACGAGGACTTTCTCCAAAACACAGTTTTGGAGAAAGATTTACATTTAGAGTTTGAAATGAGTCCATTACGACAGTCTCATTGTCTGTGTGCTGCATTATAATTCCATTTGTAAGGTTAATTAAGTGTGTTAAAGGGAACATATTACCCTATTTTCTGATCTGTTATAATATAGTTTCCTTATCAAAAACATATCTGGAGTTGTGTTTTGTTTTATTAGCACGTTTAACACACAGACCCTGCATATTTAGGCTGAGTTCTTCTCTCAAATGTGAAACACTCCATTTCACCTTGTGATGTTATGTGGTAATACAGAAAGCGCTCCAATGTGTTTTTAAACTCCATACATCTTCTCCAGAATAGTTTTCTCTCTCTGCTGAACTAAAGATAAAAGGTAGCTGTGAACTTAAAAACATGATACAGCTTCATGACCTCACAAGGTGGAACAGCATATTTTGAGCTTTGGAGATGTGGACAGACTAATCAAAGATTTTTCAAACATGTGTGAATGAAACAAAACACAACTCCAGGTATGTTTTTAACTAGTTAACAACATTCTAACATGGCTTAAAGCTCATTAGAGTCAATTTTGGATAATATATGACCTTTTAAGACTGCATTTCAAAATAAAAGCACAATCATGTTCTTTTGGCATGTTTGTTTTATACAGTGGTTGGTTTATGACACAATAAAATTAACTTTGTATTTAGAACTGCCTGACAGCTGCCATGCACACAGCCATCTCTGTTACATCTGTTCATAATGACCTTCCAATTAGTTCAGCCTGTTGCACCTTTTATTTGATGCCAGACCATGTGAGAAAGCATTTGTGCTACTCCCAAGCTTGGATTAACTGTGATTAATTAGATCAAAAAGGACATTGAACATAAGACTAATTACTAATGTATGCAAGCGGCTCTACACTGGAAGACAGATGTTTTGCTGTGGCGAGAAAGGAAAGGCTGAAACCTGACGCCAAAGTTACATCAACAGCTTCACGATGTTCCAGCAACACATAAGTCATGTTGTGGATCATTGGTCAGTATTGTATAACCCAAATAAGCAAAATTTCAATGCAATGTTTTAAGAAATTATCCAGACTTCAATTTTGTGAGTTTTCTTACTCATTTTTGTGGTAGATCAAACCTGTCATGGAGTTATTAGTTTTGAATTGTAAGACTCATAATTTGGCTCGTTTCTCCATTCAAGCGTCTGGTTTCCATCCATTTGTTGCTGTTTCTGTGTGATGTCATGCCTCTACACTTTCCCGGTCTGTACCAATCAAAACCATCTGTTGTTCCCCACAGGCCATTATTACCAATTTAATCTGTTGACGGCGGTTATCGAACACAAAGCAGTTAGAGATTAAAAGCAGCTTTACTTGGCTCTGTTCTCACTTCTGATTGGCTCCCACAGCTCTGCAGGTGCTGCTGGACCAGTCCACAAAAGCCAACTCTCCACTGAAGGGACATGAGCGCACAGTGCAGTATCTACAGAGACTGGGTGAGTAAAGATCAGGGGGTGACTCTGGCCATTTAAATCATTGTCTCAATTGGGAATACAAAATGTAAAAAATCCATTTGAAGAATCTGTGGGAAAATCTGTGCAAAATTCCCCTTGTTTAAAATGGTTCCCACTCTTTATTTTGCACATTTTTGCACAAAAGTAATACCATATTTCTCTGACTATAATTCACTTAGTATATATTCACGCAGTATAAGTCACAGGGCCACTCAAACCTTGAAAAAAAGTATGAGGTATAGTCCAGAAAATACGGTAAATGTAACTCACTAAAATGTATTAATACTTTTTAAAGACCAAATTCCATTATTTTATATTTGATTAATTATTAAAAAGTGAGCATTCTTACTTTGCCTATTCACAGATCTGACATGTAACTTGTTTCTGCAGTGTCACCTGCTTGTCTACATAAAGATCGCTACTTGTTTTCATGGTGATATCATTACTTTGCCTGTAGTTTTACACTGGCATTAAATTTAACACACTGATTGGGCCTTTTAAATCTCTTTGGATTTAGCTATAACATTTTTTTTTTTTTTTATCAAATGATAGAATATCATAAATCCATATCACTTTATATGTCTCTGACGGGCAATTGCATTGATCCTAAAAGTGGTTCTGAATGCACACTTTACTTTATTATTTTTTTCCCCAATGAAGGAGTGGAGAATCTGGGCATCATCTTTGAGTTTTCTCCCTGGGTACTGAAGATCTGTCCGGAAGATGGCCTGAAGGTTTTTGGATGCCTTTTTATTCTTTCTTTCACTCAATTTTATCTGACATCTTGAGTTTCCCTTTGTCCTTTCTTCTCGATAAAAGCATTCCTTGGGTCTTAACTTTGTCGTCTGCTGCAGATTTTCACTGAGGACCTGACAGAGGTGGAGTCTTTGCCTCGAGACAAAGTGCTCAACTTCCTGAAAGAGGGCTTTAAGGAGCTGGCCATACCATATTTGGAGCACATCATCTCAGTTTGGGACGAGAAGGGCCCTGAGTTTCACAACGTCCTGATCCAGCTCTATCTGGAAAGAGTTCAGAAAGCTTACCTCAACTCTCAGCCTGAAGGTTAGACAGGAAAGCAGTTTGAATCAGTGTTTCCCATTAAAATAAGCGACTGTGGTATACCTAGGTCTGTCACGATAAGTGCGATATATTACTCAAGTAAATATAGACCATAAACAAAGATAATGAAAGATAATGAAACCTCAAAGCAGGATTGTCTAAAAACTTAAACCATACAATATTGTTAAAATGCAACACTTAGTAATTAGTTTGTATTTAATATGAGTCATAGAAGTTATTAATTCAATCTTCAAAATAACCAAATATCTTCTATTATTGCAAAGAACACTTGCATACAATAAATACTGATCCCAGAAAATCATTTCATCTATCAAATTGAATACCTCAACATAGTAATTATTGTGACAAGCCTACTTTTAGCCACTACCCACAAATTTTTGCTCCCATAGTTGAACACAAAAATGGTCAAACAAATTATAACTTTATGGTTGCAGTATTGTCATAAACATGTATAATTAACGTTATTTAAGTAAGTCTGCTTTTTTATCTGTAGAAACAAGTAACTCTAACATGTGCCATTACCGTCTCAGTATAAGCCTGTGGAAAATGCAGCTGAATAATTTACAGTAAATGTAATATTTTATTGAAAGTTTAGTGCGAAATGAGACGACTGCTGTCCTGTGATGTTGTAGTGAATGCCTGTCTGTCTTTTGATATAAACTGCTGCTTTCACACTGTAGTTTTGTTTCTCATGCAGGGTTCCCGGCTGTGGCAGCAGGTAAAGAGCCTGGAACACTGGGAGAGTTCAGACACAAACTCCTGTCCTTTTTGGAAGAGTCCAGCAGCTACGAACCAGAGAGGCTCATCAGCAACTTCCCCTTCGATGGTAAACTACATTTAAATCACATTTGTAATTTAATGATAATAAGAAGCACTTATCAAACATAATTTAACACAGGGCATAATATAATTTAAGTCACTGATGACTTCTTGCATAGAGAAATTTGGAGATTGCACAAGAAGTGTTATTATTACTTGTTTTTGTCAAGTGTCTAGACAATAATTGTGATTGATGCGGTGTCATTATATACATATTTCCTGGTAAATTGACTAAAACAATTTCCGTTTTTATTGTTCAAAACTTAATTTAGTGTTAAAACCATACAAATAAGATTAGTGATATACACACATACACATGCAACCTTATGAGTAATAATGCTGCAATGTGGGTGATCCATTCCCCTCGGGTGTGCCCTTAACTAAAAGTCCTCTTAAAATCCCATATGTTCTTTATAGCAAGAATTTCTTGCCATGACTTTATGTATTTGCCTTTGTTCTGAAGGGTGTAACCTGCTCTTTGACCTGATTTTCCATGTCCTGTAGGCCTGTTGGAGGAGCGGGCGCTGCTGTTGGGACGGATGGGTAAACACGAACAAGCGCTTTTCATCTATGTGCACATCCTGAAGGACACACGCATGGCTGAGGAGTGAGCGCTCTCAAAACTTAACATATCTCTGTTTAGTTCAAGCCCTGAAGACAAATGTTGAAGCGTGTTAAAATCATCTTTTTATGTGCAACACTAAAGAGCTGTGGTGGCCTGATTGTGCCAGCCTGATTACTCCATTACACTGCTTATACAACTAGAATCTCCACTTGTTCATTCAATGTATCATTTTGATTTCAGATGTCAAGTTAAAGGTCCTATATTACACAAAATTGATTCTTGTGAGCTTTAAGCCATGTTAGAATGTTGTTACCTCCTGGAAAACATACCCAGAGTTGCGTTTTGTTTTATTCTCACATGTTTGAGTAACCCTTTATTATTAGTCTGTCTACATCCTCAAAGCTCAAAATGCTTTATTCCACCTAGTGATGTCATGAAGCAGTAGTTTTCAAGTTAACAGCTACGTTTTACCCTTAGTTTACTTGAGCTTGGCAATTGCAGGACTGAAATCATCCAGATGATTCTAGTGAAGGTTTGAAAACGTTTAAAGACACAGCAGAGCACTTCCTTTATTACCACATGACATCACAAGTGCCTTCTGTTTGAGAGAACTCAGACTCAGCCTAAATATGCAGAGTTTGTGTGTTAAACTTGTGTGAATGAAACAAAACACAATGCCAGGTATGTTTTTGATGAGGAAACAACATTGTAACATAGACCAGTGTAATATGGGTCCTTTTTAAATGTAGAAGAAATATGCATAAGAACATCCTACTTGAAAGCTAAATCCACGTTGAAAATTATCATCTAAATATGCTAGTCTGATTATCTGCAGTGTGTATGTTGACAGTTCAAGAATCCACAACAGAAAAGATGATCACTTTTGTTTTGTTTTCCAGATACTGTCGAAGGCACTATGACAGCTCAGTTGAAGGAAATAAAGATGTAAGTAATTTATTCATTTGCATTTACTTTGCATTTTTACATGTGATTTCCAGAGGGCAATTTGATATTAGCATTTAAGGTAGTGTCCAGATTTATTATTAACAAAATTTTATGTTACCACCATAAGTGCAGTCATCACAAATGTGCATAGATTAATATAGTATTTTATTATATAATCCTAGTTAAGATGGTTGGTAGCAATTCATAGTTGCATAATGTTGATTTGAGGATGGGCTGATTTTTTTCAGAAAACTATCTGGTCTATTGATTGACAACTTTCTGTTGTACTGTTGACTATGCTCATATTTGTTTATCAATATTATATTACTATTAAAGGCCCATATCCAATTTTGAATCATGAATAAAGAACATGTTTATCTCTCTGATGCAACCATTGGATATTCTCAGCTACTTGTTTCCCCGTGGTCCTCGTTCCTGGTCCCTGGATCTTCTGGTTCTTGTAGTTGCTTGCTTCCAGTTCTCATCCCCTGCAGTTGCTTCTGTGTGGTTCCTATGCAACAAAATATCTATAAAATGTGTATTCTGTCTCGTAATTTCACATTCATCAATCAGTCAATCAAACTTTATTTATAGAGCCTTTTACAACACTCAAAGTGACCAATGTGCTGTCCATTAAAACACAATATAAAAACATTCAAAACAATAAAAACTGAAAAAAATTGCATTACATAAACTGCATTACTGAGTGTTAAAGATTAATAGCTGCTTGCATTACACAAGTGTAGGAAAAAAGACTTTTTCTAGACTTGAAATAAAAATTCTGGTACAGGCTCATTAAAAAATCTGAAGTAGAAAAAACTAAACTGTTAGTTAATTTAAATTTTATTTAGGTTTATTTATTGTATGTGTTTGTAGGTGTACCTGTCCCTATTGAGGATGTACCTGTCTCCTCCTGATGTGCACTGTTTGGGGCCCATAAAGATGGAGGTTTGTGAGCCTCAGGCCAATCTGCAGGCCGCTCTACAGGTCCTGGAGCTTCACCACAGCAAGCTCAACACCACCAAGGTACAAAGCAAAGGGTTACACTGTTAGTGCGTGGTCAGAACTGTTTTTACAGTACTGTTTTGTTTTAGATATATACACCACCATGGTACAAAGCAAAGGGTTACAGTGTTAGTGTGTGAACAGCTCTCTTATAGTACTGTTTTGGTGTAGACATAGTAAAACGAGACAAATATAAGATGATAGAAGTTCAAAAGAGTTAATAATAAAAAATAAAAAAAAGAATAATATACAAGTAATTCAATTATAAACACCCATTTGTGACATAGCTAGAGGAGATGTTGGCCTACATAATGATTTTGTTAATTAATTGTTTGCAAAGTTCTCTGTTATTATTATTAAAAATAACAAATTTGCCCATATGCAAGTACACGATATAGATAAGGCATTTCATTTTACTTAATAGTGCTAAGTAAATGTTTCAAGGTAGACTGTAACTTTTCTGGTAAAGCAATAGCATCTCCATGGAGACAAGCAAGTGCCCGACCCTGCACCAGAAAAGTGGGATAATGCACCTTAATCTAAGAGAGGTTGCTTTGGCTTAGTTTTATTCTATATATCTATATTCAATGATTATCGAGCTCTTGGCAGTCTAAGAAGCTGATTATTTGCTGTGTGAGAGAACCCTAGAAAAGAAAAGCCAAAATATGTAAAGTGGAAGGTGTGTTATTACAGATTTCATGCATTTTAAATTAGACCTGTTTATATGTGGCCTCCTGCTGTTAATAGTGCTGAACCCAACATGAGGTACAGCTAAATCACACATTTCAGTTCCTTGTGTGAAATTAAAGCTTCTTCTGATTCATGGAAGAGGAATTTGGGTTGTTTTTAGATAAAGATAAGAGGGCGTCACACTGACATGTGTAATCATGTCACTTGTTTTGTGAAAGACATTTCCTATTGAGATCCGTCCTTCACTGAGGCTTTGAAATATGTGCTTTTGATTTGTTTTCTTTGTTTGATTTTTTAAAACTGGTCACTAGTGAATCTCCCAGTTTTCAAATGGATATGATTGGCAGGTCAATTGGTCAATTGGGACATGCCTGGTCCATCGTATTAGACAAACTATAGAAAAAAAAAATATCTCAGGGAACTGAAAACATGGTGGATTTCTGCAGAATCAGTGAGCAAAGGGCTAGGCAAAGGACTAAATTCTGTTAATCTGAGGTGAAATAAATTAGATTTTTCTTTGTAAATGACATGTAACCTGTGAGTTCTTTTGTTTTCATACGTGTCACTGGAAAAAAAAACAAATCTGATTGAACAATTATGTTTGGCTGGACTTAAGACGCTACAGAAGGAGTGGGTACCAGGCTGATATCAGTCTGTATAAAAAATACAGAGAGGTGCCATTCCAGGCAAATAAAATACAGTCTGTCAATATTACTAGCCTTTTATTTGAAAAAATATATATTTTGGTTTAGTCTTTGGTGTAAATTGCTTCAATTCAAAATATCAGTTATTAAGTGACTTGTTTTTAATCTTTGGATCTTACTTGCCACAGGCTGAATAGCTTGAATGGTTGACAGATGCCAGAGTCTTGAGTAATGGGGATTTCCTTTGTGCCTCTGTGCTATAATGGGTGATATTCAGAATGATCTGTGAGTATCTATTGAGTTGAGGTGGGTTGAAAGGGTGTTTTTTAAAATTCTTTTTTGTGTTTTTGGTTTCTGACCAACAAAATGTTAGTATTATTCACTGACATTTTCTACAGTACATTAGCTGTTAAAGTTTTTTTCATTTGTTTGTTTATTTTTGAACACTTAGTCCACATACAATGAGTAATCTTTAAAAACAAAGACTCCAGGTTTATGAGTACAGTTTTGTCCAAGCTTTCAAAGATGTAAGTCCAATTTTGTGTTCCTGCATCTTTCTTATTGATTTACTTAATGTAACCCCTCATTGGACCACTGGCCCTGCTCCCAGAATGCACTCTGCCAAAGCTGCAGAGACTGAACAAAAGGCCCTAGTCTCTTTCATGGAGCGGGGTTTTATTGTCAAATCTTGCTTTTAATGTTTGAGTTACATCAAGGTTTGGACACGAACCAAGCACTTAGATAGGACATGGTAATTCAACTCAATGTCCAAAATCTGTTTCTTTCGTGTTTTATGCAGGATACACATTTTATGTTTGTGGGTGGAATAATTTGGTAGCAAGTGCCAAATTTTGTGTAACAACTATTATTTTAAAAAAAATTAAATCTGACACAGTAGATCATGACAAGTAAAAAATATTACAGTAACATGGGGTGTGGCATTATAGGTTATAGTTAAGTTATAGATTTTGATGAATCACTGGCTTCTGGCAAGAGCATGGCTGAATGTGTTCATTAATTCAAAAAAACAGACGTTACAATAATTGTTTTTGCTATGCTTTATTTCTTAAATGTAGGTAAGTGGGTAAAGCTGTGGTTTAAGTCAAATGCTTGACCAGCCACTTTTCTTTTTCTCCAGCACTCGGACTTTCTCAACCAGCTGCAGGTTCTCCTCCATTATTCTGTTGAGGCTCTCCTCTGCATCGCTCCTCCTGCTTCTCTCTCCTCAGCTCCAGCTCCACAGAGCTGTTCTTCTCAAGCCATGCTGTGGAACTCTGGGAATGTTCTCCCTTCATCTGGTCCATCCTCATGCTTACTGCAGCCACTTTGTCCTTCAATGATCTGTTCTCGTTCTCTTTCTGAAGCGCATGTTCTATAGTGGCCCTTAGCCTAGCCTCCTTTTTTTTGCATGGCTTGAAATCCTTGATGGTCGTCATAAGAGTCATCTTTTCTTCTAGGATGTCGATGTTTTTGATGACCTCTTGTTGTCTCATCTGCTCTATTTGAAGCTTCATTTGAGAGATTTGCTCCATCAAGGTTTGCTCTTTCTCGTCCCTTTTTTCATATGAAGGACAAGGTCTGCATTCTTCTCCACCAGTCCTGCACTCTCCAGTTTAATCTTGAACAGCTCATCCTGGTGGGACCTCCTCAGGTTCTCCATCTCATGTTCAAGGCACTACTTTTCTCTCTCACAGTAATGAAGAGAGTGCTGGAGCTTGGTGAGGCTGTCCTGGTAACTTTGAAACAGTTCTTCCCTCTGACACACAACCTGCTCATATGCCAACTTGATTTGCTGAATGACCACATAAAGGCTTGTATTTCAGCTTTCTGCTTATTTATGACCTTGTCAAGATCTTTCTTCTTCTCTTCTCTTCACTCTGTTTGAGTGTGTCCCTCTTGTCTTCTGCCCTCACAGTTGTTTCTCAGTAGACAACTCAGTAGACTTCTTTTCTTCATTCTGCTTAAGCTTCTTCTTGTTGATGCACAGTTTGATGCTCTTAAGGTCCCTCTTCATTTTCTGCCCCCGCTCCTTGTAACTGTTGATCTGGGCTTGGTTATAGGTGTAGGGAGCGGCGGCCTGTCTCTCGAGGGTATACTGCTCAGAGTACTTGATATCACACTTTTCGTGAGTTTGCACAGTTACCTCTGACATGTTTAAGTGCTTACTTTTTTCTGTAGCTCTGGGCATGTTTGCTCTGGGCTCAGGCTATTTGAGCTTCTCTTTCGAGTGTTTGTCACAAATGACTGTTTAACAATTTTGTGTTCAGCTCATAATGTGTCTGATGAGGTCACTGTATTAGGTTTGAACAGGAGTGCGAAGTAAACTTGGCATCTATATTAATTCTGAATGTAAATTGATTTGTTTTTCAGGCCATTAACCTGCTCCCGGCCAACACCCAGATCCGTGAGATCCGAGTGTTTCTGGAGAGCGTGCTGGAGGAGAAGGCCCAGAGGAAGCGCTGTAACCAGGTCCTCAAGAGTCTACTCCAGGCTGAGTTCCTCCGGGTCTGTGCTCACTCTCTACTTATTAAGCCTATATATTTCTCCTTTTTTTCTTTGCATTCTATATGTCCATAGGGCCTCAGAATGTTGAAAAATTGGAATTGCTGCCATAGCAATTAACAATTTTAAACAAAACTATTGGTTAATGGTGAAATGTGCTTAAAATGGCACATATAACAGGAAGTTGAATCCCATGAAAAGTCATTGTCATAGTCATAGTGATCCAAATCTGATAATGCTATGCGTGTTGTTTAATCTAGGGAGCAGATAACATAAGAATATTCTTCTTTCTGCTCCTTTTCATTTATTTCTTGTATGTTTAATGTTATGACACTGTTATTGTCTTTTTGTACTTAAATAAATAAATAAACAAAATAAATAAATAAAATCTGACCCTGAGCTCTGTGCCTTTAGGTTCAAGAGGAGCGAATTTATCATCAGCAGGTGAAGTGTGTCATCACAGAGGAGAAGACCTGCCGCGTCTGCAAGAAGAAAATCGGAAACAGGTACTGCCCCCGATCCCAGAGCGCCTCAGGGACTTCCACTGATCTGGGACTTTACAGATTTATCCTATGTTAGCTTTACTTTTGTTGTATTTTCAACTTAACTACATTTTGCTGCAGGGGCACTTTGTAACTTTTCTGGTCAAGGGTCCTCTATAGCCCACCCACTCGTCTTCTTGTATATATTATGGCATTAAACTTATACTTCTTTCATTTATTCAATTACAGGTGTTTTTATTAATAGACTTAGACAAACTTTATTGATCCACAAAAGAAATTACTTGTACACAGTGGCTCACACATCACAATAAAATATAATAACAAAGAGTTATAATTTAAATGCCAAACTGAGTTATTTAACCCTCTCCAGGCAGGCGTGCAGATTTGCAACAGCTAAATTCCAAGTACCTACTTACTCCACATTTATATTATTTGAGCTTTTTTTTACTCAGGAGCCTTTTTTCCCATCCATGCTGATAAACGTGGGCAATGCAGACTGTGCAAGAATGGCTACACGCAAACGGCCTGCCAGAAGTGCAAAATACTTTTTTTGTTTACAAAGTATAAAAAAGTCAGAATTGTATATTGACTGGTATTTGTCCTAAAAATACATTTAAATGTGCAACAATGACCCTGTTCAGACATAGTACAGACTGTAATATATGATAAAACAATTACTCTTAACATATTTTATTATTTTTTTATTTATATATTTGTTTTATTTTAATATTATACAAGAACAAAAAAATAAAAAATAAATAAAATCCTCCCACACTGCACCCCTCTCTCTATACCGCAACGTCCAATACTGCCAAAATGTTCAAAAACATTGCCTTGCTGCTTCCTCCTCCCAATGTGGAAGATTTTCAGTGGGGTGCATTAAGATAACAGTTCATTATTCCAAACACATTTTATTCTTGTGTAATCTTATTTTTTTATCTTGTCACTACACATAATTCATTCCAGTTTGGTTTTCTTATTTGTTCCACATTGATGTTTGCTGCAATCTGGACTCTGTGTGTTAAAGACATGTTTTTCTTTGACACTTTACGCTCTTGTTAATCCTGGGTTTATTTTTATCCCTCTCATATCCATTTTAAATTATCACCTGGTTACATCCTTGTGACTTCATAACTAACTGTAAATTGACTTTGTGTCCCCAGTGCTTTTGCCCGGTATCCCAATGGAGTCGTAGTGCACTACTTCTGCTGCAAAGACCGAAACACCTGCCCCACGGACCTGTAGCTCTCCACCTCCTATTGAGACTAACTGAGAATAACTCCTGTACACCCCAATGGGACAGGCTAAAACAGGCACAAGAACTAAACATATCCAAACCATATTGACTTGAACTAGCCTGGCTTCAAAGTGCACCAGATCTGTGTGCCTGGAAAAGCAGAAGGAATTTCTCAAGCGCATTGGGCAAGAAAGAAGAAAAAGCATTGGCATTCGAAAGGCATGTGTCAGTAATATGTTAAACAGGATTCTCCAGACTTAAGGTGGGAGCTACAGACGAGACAGGACCTAAGGCCAAATGGACAAAGCCTGGAGGTAACTTCAAAAACTCCTAAAGAGCAAAACTGTTTATTTTTTGGTTTTCTATTCTTCACTCCTCTGTTTACTGTGCCATACAGTCTCCCGGACAAATGCTGAATGCCTTTCTGAACAATCACATGAAAATAAATTTTGACCCTACATTATATTGTCTTTTTCCATCTAATTATTTTATGTTAAAGGTGTTAAGGTGCTTTTCTCTATCGAGATTGCTTTGTCTGGAACGTTTCACAGTATGGCATTATGCCATTCTATTTTCATAGAGACTAAACCAGACCAATTTACAGGTGAGATCTGTGGAGAGGCAACCCTGCTCAGTCAAAATGCCTGTTTTTCTAGGTATTATTGAGCTATAAAACCACCTGTAATTGAATAATTGTAAGGAAGAGCTGTTTAAAAAAAGTTTTAAAAGCTGTGGAACATTTCAGGCAGAGCAATGAAATCTCTGTACATCCAGCCAAAAAGTTACATAGTGCACCTTTAACTGAACACCTATATTTTAAGTAGATCAGCTAGATCAGGGGTCTCCAACCTGTAGCTCTCCACCTGCTTCCAAGTAGCTCGCCAAGGGATTTCTGAAAACTATATATTGTGGATAATAAGTAGAATTTGATTAATTACCACTGTAAATTTATTATTTTGATGCATAACTGTGTGTATCAATAAATGGGCAATGGCTTATGTTATATAAGCATCTCACTGGTCCTCATCTAAGGCTTGCTATGGCTCTTATATATACTCTGTTTCTTTGTGACTGCTGAAATTGCTAGCTCTCTGGCATTTTTGTTTTGTACATGTCGCTCACTGGAGAAAAAGGTTGGAAACCACTGAACTAGATTATTTGCTTTGGATGGAAAAAGTGTTGTAATGTATTTATTTTGGGTTACTGTTTAATTTTTTGAGAGAAGACTGCATGAAGTTGCTTCTTTTTTGTTTACTTTATATCAGTAGTTTGACATGCGACTTATGTAGGTATCTTTATTTTAACTTTATTTTGTGTTCAGCATACAGGATTTAGTTTTGTGAAATTTGGGAGTCCATAGACAGAACAAAAGCTACACTAATATACTTGTGTTTGCTGGCAGTATGGCACTAGATAACTCTGCAACCTTTAACATTTTAATTCATTCATTGTTTCAGGTGATTAAAAGAGATAATCCAATACATACATCTAAAATATAACAATGCAGTCTGTAAAATGTACAATACAATACAATATAAAGTTTGGATAGTCCTTACTTGCTTAAAGAGCCCATATTACACTATAATGTTGTCCTCATCAAAAACATACCTGGAGTTGTGTTTTGTTTCATTTACACATTTAATGTGCAAACCCTCCACAATAGGCTGAGTTCTTCTCTTAAACGGAAAACGCTCTGTTCCATCTTATGATGTCATGTGGTAATACAAGAAGTGCTCCACTGTATTTTTATTCTTACATCTTCACTAAAATAATTTGAATAATCAGCTGTATAATTGAAATAATACATTTAAAATAATAACAATGTCACAAAAAGTAAGTAGTATAAGGTTGTTTATAAAATATGTCTACAATATAATGTTTGGATAGCCCTTACCTGCTTAATTATTACAACATAAACAGGATTTGAATTCATTTTTTGGTGTGGGGAGTACATACAAATTGACTACAACTTCTATCTATGGATTGCCTATAACACAACCTATGTTACATTAACCTTAAGTTTTGTTTTCTCTGTATTGCCTTCTCTTTTACATAACATAATATGAAGTCAATGTTACAGCACTTTAATGGTGGGAGAATGCCTTTTTATTTATTGTTAAATCAGATACTTGATAATCTGTATTAATGTAATGAAATACTGGTTTACAAGTAGTGAAAGAAGCAGGACTTACTAAGAAATTGTTGTGAATAATTCTTTACTAATTTAATACGGACACTGAAGATTGTGAGAGTAGTGGGGGACGTTGAAAAGTAATGGCCTTACATGTGTTTTATTTCAGATTTCAAGTAGCATTAACTGTCTTTCCTGCTTCAAAAACAACACTTTGCACTCACTGCTACGACTGTTTCAGATATTTTTACTATTAATACAATGGTGAACTGTAACACGAGAGGTACTGGCTTTAATCATTATTAATAAATACATGTAAACTGTACTTGAGTTTGCAAAAGCTTTTTCACTGTTTGGAAATATGTTATTGTCTATTGATTCATTTTTTAAAACTACTGTTAGCAGGTATGACTTGTCTACACTAGAACTTACTACACTACACTTGTCTACACTAGAACAGGGAAAAGTTCAATGTTTTTGTCACTCATTTCACAAAGTCAAACCCATATATTACATAGACTCATACATTACCAGTCTAAAGTTTAGACACACGTTTTCATGTAGTTCTTTATTTCCATGATTATTTACATTGTAGATTCTTAGGGAAGGCATTAAAACTATCAATGCACACCAAAAATATCCAAAATAACTCAATAATTTTTTTTTAGAAATGGCCACCCTTGATCACTGCTTTACACTTTTGGCATTTCTTGATCCTGTGGCAAACCTGAGGGTACTTCATTATTTTTGCATTTAACTATAAATTTTGAGCTGTGGAGGGTTGAATAATTCACTTCTATGAATCATTACAGATACAAACTAAATACTAAAGTTTCTAAAGTCACATTTCAAAAATTTGTTATCGTGACAGGCCTAACAAAATTGCAATTAGAGGTGTGCAAAAATATTTATATATCTTATAGTTTATTTTGATGATACAGTATCAATGTTGTGGGCTGCTGTATCGATATATTGCCAAGAGTATCTTTTTGATATATTTTACTGAATTATTTTGTGAAAGAGCTACTATACATTTGTGTTGCTTGTTTGGAGAAGTTGTTCATGAAATACATTTGACATTTTCACTGTTTTGATGAGTAAATTGGGCATTTTTCATATTAACTTTGCACAAACAGTGGATTCATAAAGACTTAGTATCACAGCCATGATTTAGCCTTCATTTTTACTGAACCGTATTGAATTGATTTTAAATATACCGTATCAAATCAAAAGCGCACTGTATCGAAAAAATTATATCGTGGCCTATGTATCGGCCAGTTCTCAATGATACCCAGACCTAACTGCAATGTCACCAAAAATCCATTTCTGCTCAACAAATTTTAACCATATTTTTGTAATTCCACTTGGTGTAATGCATAACTTTTCATTAATGCTTTGATTTCATTGGGCAATAATATCATACTGTGGAACATTCCAGACAGAGCAATGGCATATCTATAGAAACAAACAGGTAACGGACCCCAACCGAAAAGTTATGTAGTGTGCCTTTAAGAGATGGGAGGAAGATGCATAACTAAGAATTATATTTCAAAAAAGAAGAAGCTCTTACCACTGCCACTAATAATTAACTGTCCCTGTGAAACTTGTAAACCCCACCTGTCCCATTGCCTCTTAAATATTGACAGTAAACATCTCACTGCGGATCCACCTTGTAATTTTGTAGCTTCAATCTCCCCTGATCCGCTCCAGCTGGAAAAAACGCTCTCAGAACTATGACTTCTGAGCTGTGAGCAGTACATTTGGCCTCACACATATCCTGAGGTGTGCCAACAGGAGTCTGCACTCAAGACCAGCCTCAGATGACCCCCTCTACTCCTCACCCTCTTGTACCCTCATATACCCCTCAGTCTGTGCCAGTGGTGTAATAAATGTACCAAATTTAGGTGTCCAACGCTGGCTGCAGTTACATGTGCACTCAGAATATGATTAACACAAGATTTTTGAGTTATAAAGAGTTATAAAGCTGACTTTACAGTTTACATGTTATTTGATTAATCTTAAAGGTGCACTATGTAACTTTTCTGGTAGAAGGCCTCCCAGTTACTTGTTTCCATAGAGATGGTTTATTAAAGTATGGCATTAAGCTCATCAGTAAGCAGGAGACACCACCAGGTCTTTTTCCACGTGAGATCTGTGAAGAGGCCACCCCACTCACAATCAGAAAACATGTTTTGAAGTGCATTTTAGAGAAATAAAAACACCTATAATTGAATAAATGGATTTTATATAAGCTGAATTTCATACTGTGGAAAATTACGGGCCTACTAAATTAAACTAATAGCATCTCCGTGGTGGCAGGCCCCCAACCTGAAAAGTTACGCAGTGAACTTTTAAAGGTCCAGAAATCAGACTATAATCAGATTTTGGTGTGCATGTGAACAAGGCCTCAGGTGAATTTCAGTTAACCATGTAAATTGTTTTTTATCAAATCTATGCCCACATTTGCACATACACTACAGCAGAATAGGAAATAAATCCTCAACAAAATCTAGACTAGACTATGACTAAACCAGGACCAATCCAAGTCTACTTCTGGACTAAACCTGGGATCAAACCAAGACAAAGGCTAAAAGTAGTATACTGAAAGCCCTTTGTCTATTGTTGCTTTGATATTTTCCTATTCATTTTCGGATAAGAGCGTTTTACCTTGTGTTTAAATATAGTTATTTCCTGATCATGAATCCAGACCCGGAGCTCCACCCAAAACAGTGAGTCGATGATAACCACAACATGACACAACGTCTGCTGGAAACTACCTCTCACTTCTGGTTCTGACCGATTACACACAGGCAAAACTGATTTATACCAGAGCACACACACTGTCAGAAAGTGTTAGGTTTTACAATGTACCACCAGCATAGGCTTGTATGTTGCAAAAACATACCAGCTTACATGCAAAGTCTAAATCTTCATTGACCAAACTTTTGGCTCCTTGGTGAGATTCAAATCTTTTTGCTTGGTTCATGTCAAAGAGCTGTTCAAAAGACTGACTCTTTTTATGTTTAATCATATGACCAAGCCAGTGTGAGAACTAAGCACTCATTTTAAACTAATCACAGAGAGAAATGACCAAGGCAAAGATTTGTTTAAATGGTTCAAACTGAGAGTGTTGACCCTTTGAAATTAAGAAATTTGAAATAAAATATTGCACTATAATAATTATTCAAAAATTATTCATTATTAAATGCAATTACATTTTTTTTCTCTTTTCTTTTTCAGCACAAAGCTCCTTTTGCCTCCTTTGATTCTGTGTTACTTCTTGTGTTGGTTCTGCATTAATTTGTATTAAAAATGCATAAAAATTTGAAAGAAAAACATTTGGTTCTTTAAAAAATTAGATCCAGATCCAACCGCTGGATGTTGAAACCACTCGAAGGAACTGACTCATGAACGCCACATCACAAGTGTGATCCTGTGTCTGACATACTGTTAATGTCAAGTGAACATTTTGTCTTCATAGTTAATTTGACAAAAACTAAAATCATTTCTGACAGTTTGAGTGAGTTGACAATAGGTAAAGCAATAGATAGAATAGATAACGTACTACTGACCATGGCATGAACCTAACCCAAGATCTACTATGGTTATCCTTTGCTTCTGACAGGTTGCCCTTGACATTTGAAGGATGTGTCAATTTTCCTTCTGATAATGAACTCCCTTGACCTTTAACCTTAAAGGCTATATGAAGAGATCAACAACAGCAGAGCATCTCCAAAGCTGTAGCTCTGGAGATGCTCTGGAGGTGTTCTTCTTGGTCAGCAGCGCACAGTATCTACAGCTGCATTCACAATTGTCCTGGTTTGGACCTGGTTTGGGCCCAGTTTAGTCCTGATATAGACTCTGTTTGTTTGATTTAAACTTGGTCTAGTCCTGGTTTAGTCCCAGTTATTAGTTTCAGATTTGCTGTGGTATGTGCAAATTTGAACCGTATGAAAGTGTTTAAATAGACCAGTGAAGTTTAAATTGCCTGTGCCTCAGTGGCTTATTCATAGGCTGTACTGTAAATATAAATGGACATCCACATATCAGCAGCCACATATCAAACAGGAAGTGATGATGGGGCTCTTCCGGCTCCATCGACTGACTTTAAATTAAAAAATGGTCACTCCTCTCTCTGTAACTTCTGCAGTGAGCCTTATCATTTTGGTCTTAAAATGTTTGTATTAACACACTCTACAGGATCCTGTTGTTTTTATTTTGCTGATTTATCTGTAAATCAATTCTCATTCCTAATATGCAGCTTGGCTCCAAATTCGCCCCTGTAACCGTTGGCATTGTGAGCTTCATTTGACTGGAGCTGCACACTATGTTTGACGTCACCCTCCCTTAGTCCACTTCTTTATACAGTCTATGAGCTTATTAGTCAGGTTGTCATAATGTTATGGCTCATTAATATACTTTAAATTATGATAAAATTACAAAATCCAAGATAAATATTAATATTCTTAGGTGAAGATGTATTGACAGTGTTTACTCTGATTGGAGTAAACACTGTGATACTTTCACAGTTTGCTCAATGCTTTCATACAAGACTGGACTTGTACATTGTTAAACCTGATGATCGGTGCTTACAGCAGGAGGAGGAGGCTGGCCTGAGTCCCACTATTATCACACAGGAATTCCATATGAGCTTTGGGATAGGGAATGTCAAATGCACTTTGGATGATGGGAGACACCCAACCAGGCTGTTTTCACAAAGTTTGGGAGGATGGGAAAGATAAGGCATATTTATTTTTTGTCAGTATAGATAGTTTAAGAAAAGAAAGAAGTTCACATGCTGATAAGATAAACACAGAATATGGTACTCAAAGCAACAACTACTGTTACTGCTTAAAGGTGCACTGTGTAACTTTTCTGGTGGGTGGTCCATTACCTGTTTGTCTTCATAGAGATATTACAACTTTTTCTGGAACAAGCTACAATATTATTTACCTGATTTATCTTGCATTTAACCAATTATGGGTGCTTTTATTGAAGAAAAAAAAAAAAAGCATTCTCACCATATATGAACAGCGTCACAACTTGACAGATCTGACCTGTAACTAGACCTGGTGGTGTCACTTGCTTGTTTCCTTGGAGATAGATAAGCTAAATTTCATACTGTGGAACATTTCTTTCAAAGCAATAACATCTCCACTGACCAAAGCACGTGGCAGACCCTCAGAAAAGTTACTAGTACACTTTTAAATATAACAACACTATTATTATACAACCTTGACTGAAGAATGCAAGTATCCTTTATTTTAAAAAAATACTAGAGTAAAAGTATTCAAGTTTCCAGCAATGACTAATTTGTCTCTTGGG